GCAGGCAGGTACGGGTACAACCACGCAAGCAGAAAGGCTGGGAAGTCACCCACCGTACATTGGAAACAACAGGGTATTGGAAGTAGCGCCAAACCTCTCCCCAACCGTTTCTTTCGAGCTAAAAACTGGACCTAGAAGCAAACGCACGAGGACCCGTGGGTGCCTGATAGAGAAAAGAGCACAAATCTGATCGTCAACTAAAAAACCGTAACAAAAACATGCTTCTGCGCTTCTAAAAAGTGCTTAATCCATGGTACACAGCCTCAGCTCAGCCCCAGGAGGGTGCAAAGGCCTGACGACAAGTACTACAACCAAAATAGAATCGATTTAGGTAAGGCAATGAATATATTGTAATTACACAGACCCAGATTCATTTCCTAATAAAGAACGAACAGTTCCCATTAGTCTCTCAATAGCAAAACCACCGTCATGACTATGGCAACATTTCTTAAACCTCTGAATCAGATGACGAGTTTTTGTATTTTATTGTAGCTTTTATATAAAAATTTTTCATTCAAGGACTTTCGTCTCGATTTGTGCCAATCACTTTATAAGTTCATTAGTTTACAAATGATTGCAACAACCCGTTAATAAAATGGAACACCTAAAAAGGTTTTTAGTATTTTAAATAACTTCAAGCTTCATACTGCGGCTCTTCTTGTTAAGGAGGTTGAGCCAACAAGTAGCAGGAACAGCCCAGCAAGTTCTGATGCCCCAGTGGAAGTGACTAGTTACAAGGTTTTATCGGCACAGCCTTGCTCTGCTTATTAAAAAAAAAAAAAAAAAAGAAAAAAAAAAAACCAAACCAAAACAAAAAAATCAACATAATCTAAACAAAGAGCATCTTTTCCAAGAAACAGTTCATATTCTCATACAGCCATGAAAAATGTTTAATGACTTAACATACATGTGGTTTTCCTATATCATTAATTTGGAAATACTACAAACGCTGTCATTTTAGACCAGAAAAACTACTGTGATTTGCAAGACCTGACATTTCCTAAAACAGTATTAAACAATGTATTAAACTTCTTGGCTTTAAATGAAACGATACAACGCAAGTCTCTGCAGTCCGCATTTTGCAAAAGGTAAGAAATACACAAAAGTGTGAACAACTCGCTCCTATTGAATGATCTTTAGTAACTCGATAGCCTGCTGTAGGGAGCTTACGCTTTCAAATTAAAAAAAAGGGAGAAGGGAGGGCATGGCCCAAATATGCTTAATCCATAAGAACAAATACAGTAAAGGCCCAAACTGCTCAGTCCAGATACCTAAGAAGAGCGGAATGGTAAGGCTGTAACTTATACTTTATGTGTCAGTTGACAGATTATCCACTAACTTATCTAATAGCTAAAGTCTTCAGTACGGCTGTTATAGGGGCACTCATAGCTTGAGTCTGTGTGTTGGAAAACATAAAAAAGAGCTTGTTTTGTTGACATTGGTCCAGGTATACAACAGTCCTCAATATTAGCCATCTTCTTTCGGAGGAGTGTACCAGCCTGTGGAGAACAGAGAAACACGTTAGGTACCGACACTGCGACGTCAAGACGATCTCACCATCCCACTCTGAATTTGTGGGAGACGGAAGCCTCATCTGGCTCCTCCTAAAGTACGCCAGCTCAGTGAGACCCAGTGCCCTAAACGCTAGTGGTCTGCACTGGGAGATAAAGCATGTGGAGTGTTCCAGGATCAGACCCAGTATTTGGGCGTGAAAATTAAATACTTCCAAGGTTGGTTTTTTTTATGGCAGTAGCTATCCCAAGTTGGACAAGCTGGACATCAACAGTGGAAGTTGAAGAAGGAACATTGCTGTAACAAAACCAAATGGAATATAGGTAAAACCCCCACGTCTTCAAGCCACTTAATGCACAGACATACAAACATGACTACACTGGGATATTTATATATAAATCCCATCTTGCATACTGAAGAGTTAGGGACACACAAGCATTTGAATGGTTTATCCTACTTCTGCAAATCTTGCTGTAGGAATGGGCTCAGAAGTGTCAACTGAATAACTTGCCTCCTGATAGGATTCGGCATGTTAAGCAGTTGAATCATACCTGATCAGGTGTGCATAGCTTTTTCTAGCCACTTCCAGATCTCCAACCTGAATTCTCCCAGCCACTATTGTAAAAAAATCCTCTAAAGTTTCATACAGTGAGTACAGGGCCTATTTATGTTGTTCCAGAGAACAGCTATAAGTTAAAGACACCTTTTGCAGCAGCAATAAATGCTGTGAATGCTTTGTGTACAGCTCCTGATGCAGCAGTAATCACTGTAGTCAAGGCTAGCATATAGCTAGAAGTAAACAGACAGCCATGCTGGCTTTTGTAGCAAACTAAAAAAGCAAAAGACTCAGTTAATGGCAAGATCAAAATACCATAAAATTGGAAAGCATTTTCAAGTCGTTATCTCTGATCTTCCTCCCAGTAGTAGAGAAAGCATTTTGTTCAATTTTAGAGGTAGGGGAACTGAGGCGCTCACTACAGTCACACTGAAATACGCTCTCATGTCCGCAGCAACATGAATTCCCAGAGGAGACTGTGTCCAACCTGGACCAAAGAACATCACGGAAGTGGTAACCGGCACTAACTCTCTCATCTCGAGACCAGGGTACCAATTCCGCTGACTACTTTTACATAACATGTCAGCCACTTAAACTTTTTAAGGCCTCAGGTCATTTATTGTCTTCTCATCCTGGCACAATTAATGCAATTACACCTGAAGCACTTGAATACTTGTTTTATGCAGCTGAGAGACCATTAACTGGCTTTAAATAGGGAAAAAATAAATAAATGTGTCTCCCATTTCTATTGCACAGTTTTCCAGCCAGCGCACTTCACTTGGACTTTTTTGTGATTTCTTTTGTCTCTGGTCGGTCTTTCTACTTTCTCTCTTCCTTAATGATTACTATTACTGAGGTCTTGCCACATTGAAACAAAGTCTTTCAGGGAGGTATTTCCCTAACAAATAAGACACTGTAAAAGCTACAGTAACAACAAAGTTACTAGATCAACTGACTGAAAATGAAATTGAACTATCTTTCAAAAGGCAGTAGGAACACATGGAACATCGCTATATTCACTGGCAATGTAAGCTGGCAAAGTTGCAATGATTGTTAGTCGAGTTTCTTTAAGCACTATTGTCTTCCTAGTGCAAAATGAAAAAAAGGAAACACCATTTATGGTCTTCCCAAGCCAACATAAGACACTCCGGCACTTCAAGTTTTACTGCCGCCAGGTACCAATTCCCAGGTTGCTGTGCAGACAAGAACAAAGTCGCAAGAATATACATACCATTTTTCTCATGTATTTGTACTAGTGACTTATAGGACTGCTGTGCTCTTGCTAGATTATATTGATTCTGAAAGGAGAAAAAACTAACATAAAAAACCTGCATTTAGACATGCGGAACTTAAAAACAGTTTTGCGAAGAAACTCTACAGTGGGCTTACAAATAAAAACCATGCATGATGTTACAACATTCCTGGCTTTAAAGCACAAGATTTTCAAGACAAATACCCTTATTTTCTCATTTCTCCTCCATCATAATGACAGTAATTTGTACACCCGGGCTGCTGGAAAGGCCCCTTTATTGGAGGGTTCAGAACCTGAGTCAGTCAGAAGTGTGTGCAACCGGAAGGGCAGGCTTCAGGCAATCCCCACCGTAACTCTGTCCTGCTCGGCTGACACTTACCAGGTTAGACAGAATTGTGAACATAAACTTTTACATCTTGCCCAGTTCACTATCCTTGAATCAGTACTTAAAAACTGTCATCCAAGTGACAATTTCATTGACTTAAATATTTAAACGTCCTTTGAAAACAGCATTTAGTACTTCAGAGCCTTTTAAGTTATGGTCCATTACCAGCATGCACACTTGAACTGAATTATGATTTCGACTAATGCTGAGTGGCCAGCTCAGAAGTATTTGCATGGTATTATTTTTGACCCTCTCATGAAACTTTGCAGGTGTCTAGTCCAGCAAAAGGAGGAGAACTTCCTAACATCAGTGTATGTGATCCTGGCAGTCAGGCTGTCATCTACAGCCCTTCTCAGAGCCAGAATTTCCAAATCCTCCCGATTGCCAATTCCGAATCCTCCTTCCCTCCCCCCTTGCCAATACAGGGATAGTACAAGTCCAACTACTTACACACCCTGCCCATCCCAATGTTTTATCCTCCTCATACATTCATCATTTCTTAACAGACTTATAGTTAACTGCCAATAAAATACTCATACAGGCACCAGACATTAAGATAAATCAAAACATAAATATATTTGCAATGACAATTCTGTCATTAAGCATCTTCTATGCAAGTCAGCAAAGAAATGGAAGCCTAACAGTAATTTCTGTAACTGATATACATGGCGCATTTACCTTATTGGCTCCAAACTGTACTCTGGCTTTTCCTTTGACTAAAGTGGCATTGATCTGCATGATGACCGATTCTATTGAATAGGCACTGCTCCAGCCCTGGAGGAGGAAAGAAATATTTCTATGTAACAAGCACTTGCTTCTTGTGCTCACCTTGCAAATCTATTTTGAAATGTGTGCTTTGGGATTTTTTCCCCGCCCCTGCACTCCAGTTTTAGTTTTAACTACTTATTTTCAGTTAACATCTTTTATTTTCCAGAGAAAATCTGGAAAGTGATATACAATATTAGTACTACGAACCTGTAATAAAAAGGCTGAATCACACATTTCCAAAATACAGCAAGACAGAAACAAGAGCAGCTCCATTTTTTACACCATTTACACATTTTCAGCAGCATCACAACAGAAATTACAACTTCTTCTTGTAAGAAGCAGAAAAGACTGCTATCTAATGAAGCCATTGAGTGAGCTATGACAATTTTGCTCCTATGAAAATTACTGCTTCTCTCTGGCATTGCTTTACCTTCCAGGGTTCACAAAAGTTTCTGCAGAGCCTGCAAATAAGTTACTTCATTCATTTACTTCAAGAAAAAAACAATCACTCTGTCTACACAAGAATTATCTATGCCTAGAGTCTTCTGCATGCCTCATTTCTCCAGAGCTGACTCTCTGCAGTAGCAGAGGCTTCTGGAAAAGAAAACAATGTGTCCTGCTCCTCAGAATTCACTCTTTACACTGGCTTCCTCCCAGAAATTCTGAGAATTCAAAGTTGATGCGCTCTCACTTCTTGCCTCTTCCTCAGACCTCTTGTAAGCCATCCAAGGCAGGAAAGAAGATCTTACACAAGATCAGCAAGGCAAATCTTGTGGAACTGAGGTTTATTCCACCATGTTCCCTTTGGAGTGTGTAATTTATTCCACACAGGGATTCTTTAAGTCAGGGGAAACGCCTATTTTCATTATTTTAAAGCATGCTTTGTTATTATCTAGATAACAGAGTCTGTGTTCACCTGTTTAGTAAGAAGTTCCATGCATAATGCACCTCCACCTAGGACATACCTAGAAACAAACGTGAAAGAAAATATATTTGACATCAGCAGTTAGGAAAAAGATAAAACTGTTCGCAGCACTTTAAGCTCTTGCAGGCTAGTTTGTTACATTTTTTATTCACAAAAAGCTGAAATGCCCTTTAACCAGTAATATATTGCAACTGGTTAGCCATATTATACTTATGCAAAGAAGATTAGCACTGTGAGATCCCCCCCCCAAAAAATTTCCTTTGCCAGCTACACTTAGTTAAAATCAGTGCCCGAGCTAGTCTGCACAACTGCTTACACAACTGTACACAGACCACGAAAAAAGGAAGGTTGCTTTCTATGGCTACACTATATACGTGTAGTACTGATATGTAGTTATAAAAAAAACCAAATTCACTTCTGTATAGAAATTTAGCACAATTCCAAACAATGTAGGTGCACCTATAAATCAAAGATGTAGACAAATGAAAGATAAAGCAGATCTTCACTTGCTCTTTTCCTACAGACCACTTTCTAATTTCAGTAACACTTCATCATGCATTGTGCTGACTGGGACTCAGCAGTTAGCACGCCTGGTCATCACAAAACCTGGACTGAGGGAGTAGAATTTACCACTCCAAAAAGGTAGTCTCCCCTATGATGAAGATGTTCGAACAATGTAAATCTGTACGACATTCATAGGGAAACAATCACTGAAATCCAAACCTTCTGGGCCATTCTTTCTTTCATTCTACAAAGAAGTCCAAGTACAACAAAACCAGAATCAAAACGAGTTTTCTGGTGTCTGGCACTGCTTGTTTACTTTTTTTGGTAGCAGCAACCCTCATGAACACTATTTAACTGCACTAACCATTTCTTGAACGCAAAAAAGACACACAGCAATTAAAATCAAATCAGAATCAGCACCAGCTATCACAGACTGCATTTTCAAACGTACAGGTATAATTTCCTGTCAGCAGGAGATGCATAAAAGCCTTGGAAGGTGAATTTAATCTTCTCTCCACAGATATGCACAAGTTTCCACTCCATAGACAGCACTTCAAACATGTTTTGGATGACTTTTGGAGCATGGTGTCAACTAAATTTAGTACCTTTGGATTAGCATTTGAGGAGATTTTAGACAAAAACTTTATGGCAATGTTACCAGCAAAAGAGAGTCAGTTAAGATTGTACAGGAAGTTTAAGGCAACACAGGGACTAACTCAAAACACCCCTATTATTCTGAACAACAGGAGAAGTAACAGCAATGTTAATCATGCACAAAGAGGCCAATTCTTAAACATTATGGCAGGCAAAGAGTCTTTCAAAGCTAGACACAAACTAAGCAATTCAAAGAGGAATTGCATCTGGCTGGAACGTGTACCCAGCTGTTTGGCTCCTATTAGCTCATGAAGCTTAAGAAGCAAGTCTCCATATCACACTTGGAGCTCTGCACCAAACTCAAGGTCTACAGCAGCTCATGAATATACACTTAGGGGAAATTTCTTGAAGTCTACATACATGGTAGTCTCAGAATGTTCCCTGCAAACCCAGTCAACCAGTCTCAAGTTATAACATTTTTCACCACAAAGTAAAATTTCTGTAAAGCAACTCAAACCTACCCTCCTGTGAGCACAGGAGATACCACTCGCACAAAGGGAGGATCAAAAGGGAAGTTATCCTGAAAAGCATAACAAAAAACAGGTTAAGAACTATACCATGATAGTGTTTTCCTAACGCGGAAGTATTTCAATAGCCTTATTTGGCAAATCTGATTTAAAGCAGGAACATTTTTCAGTTCTGTAAAAGTCACGTTTCCACAGTACTGGCTAAAAAGCAATCTTTGGGAAGCTTTAGTGCCACATTTAAAGTTGCACTTTTTTTCTTTTTTTTTATGCTACACCTCCATCTTTACCCAAGTAGCAGCTGAGGGTCATTTCAATCACTTTTTACAGTAAGCAACAAATTTAACCCCAGCATTTCTTTCCAGAGACACATACCTTAAAAGAGAAGTTGAGTAAAATGTATTCTACACCTTCTTTTTCTTTTAAGACCTGAAGATCACTATGCAGTGGGCTATCAGGATCAACTCTATAAAAGAAGCAGGGGGGAGATCCTGGATGAAGTTAATATTTTCACTATCTGTAAAGAGTAATTACTCTTAAAGAGCTCCTTTATGTATTTGTAGTTTGCAAACTGTAATTTGAAGTGACTCTTGCTCCCTTTACAAAATAAATACTTTGCCATGAGATCAGCATGAAAGCTTGCTGCAACGCACTACATTCCCAATGCTATCAAGTGTTATTTGAACACCGTTAGCATAAAATAATCTGTTTATTTGAAAACAGCCATTTTAATTCTTTTCAGTTCATTGGAAATGTATTGCCTGGGGCAGGGGGAAGATTTTAACAGGAAGACTGTAGTGATCTAGTTTTCAGTACACAGTTAGTGAATCCTTTATGGAATATGTGTTCTGTATCAGCTGTTAAAAGTAATCTGCATCAGCAGAAGTACTAAAGCCAGCAGCATCTGCTCAGCAGAATTTCAACAATTGTTGCAAAATGCTGGTGGTGAGCAGACTAGACATTAATTCAGACACTACTGGGTTAATCCCACCCAGGCTCTGACACCCCAGCAGCTTTTAAGAGACTAGTCAAAAAATGCCTGCAGCAAGCCAAATGCAGGTGTTAAACAAAATGATGGGCTATTAAATCCAATTCTCTGCTAGAGGTGAAACCACAAACTTATTAGATCTCATTTCACAATTACTTGGGTTGTTTGTCCCCATCCTACCAACAGGAAGGTGTTCCAGAAGAAAATCTCCCAATGCTTAGAAACCTATCATTTCCAGCCTAGCTTGTACTAGGCCAGTTCAGAGTTACTTTTTCTAGTAACAATACTGTTCCTTAGGCAAATGGGCTCTGTTCTCTCTGACATTTATCCCCTCAACTAGTCTGCACATAGTTCATTTGTTTTCAGACACTTTTTGCTGGGATAAACAAACACAATACTTCTTATCTTCTCTTAAGTCATTCTGGAAGCCATTTGCTGCATGCACTCCATTTTCTCTTTCTTGAAGGCAGAAAATCAAACCTGTTCACAGCACTTGAAAAGAGGTTTCAAATGACTGCACAGTGGTTTGAGCACTTTGTTATACAAGCGCTTGATAGACAAGGCCTCCTGTAACAGGGCACAGATTTTTCTGACATACGTCATTCCTGCCATTTTCAGCTTCAAAACGTGCACATGCCTATGATTACACTAAAAAGGAAACAAAACTGCATTTCAGCAGCTGGTGACACAGTGGTACAAGTCTTACCACTAGGACAAGGCAACAATTCCTATGAGCAGGTAACTATTGCACTGAAACAGCTTATGTCCTTATACTTATTCACCATGATGTATCTGAACTGATGGAAGTTCTTTCATCTCTTGCCATCTTTTGCAGCCACCCAGCCTAGTTTGGATAGGCTTTTCGCTCCTACAGCTTATCTTGTAGGATGATGGCAGATTCCCGTTACCAGGAATAATTTTAATATAGTATCTCTAGAATTAAAGTTATTGGACTATAGACACAAGATGAGTTATCATCTAGTACACACAGCGAAAAGCAGTACATAAGAGAAGACAAGTTATATAATTATGTAAGTCATAATTATGTTACACCTTAAAGTTTCAGCCTTATGTGTCTGCTCAACTGTAGAAAAAAAGAACTAATGACACTAGGACAGTTCTGTTCCTTCTTATATCTTGAATGAAACTAGAACTTGCATTTTCCTGAAATTAAAAATAAACAAACAAAACCAAACTAAAACCATCCAGACAAAAACTCTAGACAAAAATTTTCATCATTTAAGGTTTCGTATTTTGGAGTAGTTTTGGAAAGAGAATTGAACAGTAATAAAAGTTACGTTAATACACACTGTGTTGGCTGTGCAAAGAGGGTTTGATTTTTTTGCCAGCTCAATTACTACAATTCAATCTCTCTATGCATTTCTGTATACCAGAATTGCAGACACCACACACTATTTCATATACTCTGGCTAGAGATTCTCATTTATCAAAAGTAAGAATCTCTGCAGCAATAATAAAACAGATTCTTCAGAACATGAAAAAACTTTAATAACTTACTTTAGAAGCTTAACATGCCATTCATACAAGCTGTCATTTACCAGTTCCACTGAATATATCCCTGTAGAAATATTAGATAGAATTAATTATGCACTAAAAGTTTAACAAGGTAAAATTTAGCAAAAACATTCTTTGCTTTTAAGTACAAATACTGTCAGTAGCTGTAAGCATATAAGATACTCAGATACTGATACTGAGGCACATCCTTTCTCCAACAGCAGAAGCACTTCTGGGCAACTACAAGGAAAAAAAGTTTTTTCACTTCTATAAAAAAAATTCCACATGAATCAAAATGTTTTCCTGACACATAACCATTTCCCCCCTCCCAGTTCCCCTTCAAACTTTCCACAGCTACAGCTTCAGCTTGCTTAGTACTCAGTACAGTTTATACCCCGTACAGTTTATACCCAGTACATGACTAACATGCTTTTAAAACACTTAACACACAGTCTGAGCATGCAGCACTGTATTTCACAGGTTCTTGACCGTATTGGCAGACCAGGAGAGGACACTGGACAGTGTATGGAGTAGTAGAAACCCAAAAAAAGAAGATACTGCATTGGACGAAGCACATTCCCAACAGCTGACAGATCATCATCCCAACAACAGCAGAAGTCAGAAAGATGCATCGAAAAAATAGCTGTCTCTGGAAGGCAGCTGGTGATTTTCAGTTGTCCATTTGTTTTAAGCATGTTAAACAATACTTATGCATTTCACTCAAAGGGAAAGATGAAAGGTTATCTGCCCCTTTCTTGTATATTCAAGCTTCCTCTCTGCAGAAGTTCACAAGCAGCCCAGGAAAAAGCAATGAATCTTTAACCATCAGACAAGATTTAGAAAATGGTATCAGTGATGTTCAAAAGTCTAATCTCTTCCGCCACAGACTATACACTAAAAAGCTATGATTAAACTTGTTACCTGGGCTAATATTTAATGGCATATCTGTTGCTGATGTAATTATTTGGAAGACATATGCAAATTAGCAATCTGCCTAAGATTCCTGAAGGCTATACAAACAATGTAATACATTCGCTCCAAGGAATTACAGTATTAATTTCTGTGTTTTACTATTCTAGAATACATTATCTTGCAGTTGAAACTTTTAAGCATTAGTACGTGGACTACAGATGACATTTCAAGTTGTCCAGACACCTTTATTTCTAAAGCATTCCAAAACTCAGTAAACAAGGTAAACATACCATGCTTGTTTCTCCTTACCGCAGTGCCACAAACAAGTAGGTACTGCAGCCAAGATCATGATTTCAAATTTTTCTAAGCCTAGGACAACAAAGTAGGTCTGAAAACTTACTCACTGTGCTCTCAATGTCCCTTTTAATCAGCAGCTAGTTCAGAGACGCCACACTTTTCTGTTTGAGCATGAACAGAAGGAGCTATGAAGGCCTTTTTCCAGTTTCCCAGATCCAAGGACACTATTTTCTGAATTGCCCTTAGTATAAGTGGAAGTCACGAAGTATAAGAATTTCAATTTGTACTGCTCTGATGTAACAACATAAAAGTTGTCATTCAGAACTCTGCTCACTGTCAACTCCCATTAACGATTAATCTGTTCCACCCTTGTATCCAGAATATTTCCTTCCAGCTACATCCAAAAGGGAGTGAAGACTGGAAGAAGCAGCCTCTCAGTATTACGGCTTTGGCACCTAGCACAAGTATAAAATACTTGTTACAGACAACAGAACAAGTAACAGTAAGGATTTTGACAATATCCTAAATAATGGAAGAGAACTGCCATCAGCTTGTTTATTCACTAAGCCTCTTGCCCTATTCCTGCATTCACTCCACCACCCTAAAAGTCCTGCTCTTACCCAGAATTCATGTACCAGTCCTTCAGCTCCATAGCTTACCAAGGTCCACATGTTTTGCTAGCTTCCCCGAAGGAATAACTTTTGCTGGAATTAAGAGCTGTACTGTACCTAAACCAGAAGTTGTAAAAGGGCTCTTCAGAGAGATGTGCACAGTTTAGGACTGACAAGAATGCGCCTTAACAGAACAGGAAGCTACTCAATCAACCTTTCAAGCACCCAGATTTTGAGCTGAATAGTATCTATAGGTCCTCATGAACAGCAGCAGCATCAGGGTTGCTCGCTGTCTTGATACAGAAGCTTCTTAACAACACTATCCAAAGTTGAGGGGGGTTTTGTCTGTTTTTTTTAACTAGTCAAGAGGTGTTATTTGGAACCAGCTCATACGTTTTTTCTTAATTTAGGCAGTAAGAGGGAAAAAAGTTACTGTCAAGAAGAATTTATCTGATTAGTACGAATTTCCAAGAGGTCCTTAAGGCAGGGAAGGGAATCAAGGTAGGTTCCCCTCACTTAAACATGGAAGGTTTTTTGTTTTATTCCTCTAAAAGGCCATGCACAGAGGTGATTAAGTAAAAGCAAGCACACAGAATCATGAAGCAAGCAACAAATTAAGAGATGAAAAGGTAGGAAGAAAAACAACGCCTTCCTAAATAGAGGCAATGCCTTACTTATAGCAACTTTACTACAACTAGAAGTAAATCCGATACAGCCTTTGGAAAAAAGCAGTGTGTTGAAGTCACTATACATGAACAACACAGACGCTAAAGATATGAACAGAAAAGATTTCATTTAATATCCCCAAATTCTTTGTTCCTCCCCCTCCCACCCTACCCCCTCCAAATTATGTTAAGACCTTTGTGAATTCTTCCATACAAACTAACCAAATCTCCAACTTCTTATTTGGAAATGAGATTGTCTTAGTTTGGAGGACTTGTGACTCCTATTATCAAACAGGTTAATGAAACTCTGTCTAATTTACAGCAGAATATCTTAATTTGCTGGAATATTTTTTGCTTCTGTTAGCTAATAAGAAAATGGTTTTCTGTTTGTTTTTAAGGATAGTTCTTCACCTAGATTTTCCAGGTAGATAAGAAACTTTCCTGTTGACAGCAAGCTTTTAGTCATCTTTTGCTTGAACTCCAACAGCAGTATTTCAATCACTAAAGGAACTTCAGTTCTAAAATGGATACTACCCTGAAGATACACCCTAGGTTGAAATCCTGACAGTGTTTTTTTAATGCTACTTTTTTATAAAACAGTTTAACAGAAAAGAAAAAATTTAAAGGACTATTACTACAAGTGTTATTCACTTCAGAAGTCCCAATGTGGTCCTATTGTCAGTCCTGAAAACATGTAACCTCACATACACTAAATAAAGTGATTCTTATGCAACCAAAAAGCAGCCTTAGATTTTCTGGCTTATATTACAAAAAATGAAAACAGTGTTAAATTACCTTGCAACAGTTGACAGAACCTTTAAGTTTCATAATGGTTCCCTTTGTATGTTAATAGTAAGAAATTAAATTAAGGGAAAAATGGACCATGGAGCAAGTACTCAGAACAAAGATCACATTTTAAAAAAAAAGTCAATTATCTACCATGCCCCTGCTCACATGGTGACAGTTATCTAACAACAGAATACAGAACTAGGCTATAAAAGCAGGAGTTTTGTGCAAAGGAGAGGAACTGATACTTAAATTCACTCAAGTCCTAAGACTAAATGAAGCCGTAAGAAATGAATCCACATAAGTTTTATAACAAGCAGCATCATTTACTGGCAAAATTTAATAAATGTATCAGTAGGACGGTATTTCAAAGCAGGATTGCCATCAGTTTTATAGTGTCAACCTCCATTTGACACTTTACTTCATTAACATGTTTTAGAGATCGACACAAGGCACCCAATTGCAGTCTTTTTACATATTCCTGAGTCATAAGCTGATACTAAGTTACTATACTCACCCTTTAGTATCTCAACTTCTGTTACACTTTAGCAAGATTTACTTTTCCTCATCATTTGAGTATGCTTTCCTATATCAGGAGTTCAGTCTTTCACAACTACTTAAGACTTGTTATTAACCTAAAGCCAAGAAATGGCATCATTAAGTAACCCAAATCCTCACCTCAAACTACAACTATTATAGGGGCTTCTGTTTGTGCCTCCAGCGGTACCACTATGTGATTAAGCACCATACACTCTTTATAGTGAGGTACATTTGTTATACCCAATCTTTGTTCTAACCACAAAAACAAACCCTGAAGATCATACATGGGCAGCAAAGCACCCCTCATGACTTAAAAAAAGGTCTTTTTCTAGGCTCTTCCTTAGACCCACTAATCCATTCTTTACCAGATAGATGGTGATTAGGGCATACTGGCAGGCACTCAGTCGCAATAAAGCCTAAAAGAAGTAGGCTACATTAGATCAACACTAGGTTACCTAATCAAATTTATACGTCAGACATTTTCCACTGCCCACAGTACTTCAGCACATAAAACTATTTATCTAAAAGGTAAATATGGCAAATCAAAACAGGAGGCTATTGTCTCTTCAACTCTGTCCTTTTACACATGAATTAAAATGCCATAGCCACCAAGTGAGATTTAAGCCCACTAGAAATAAACTAGGGGAGAAGTTCAGAAAAGTAAAAGATAGAGGATTAAAGTTTAGACTGACTTTCTAATCAGGCATTCCTCCTGTTCCCATTCTGGCCTGCACCAGGTTCTCATACCTGGCTGCAGTGATGGAGTTGTCTACTCAGCTGTTCTACAGGAATACATCTTGCCTGAAATCTATGTAATTTCTACTTCTTGTATGGTAACACTCAGACAATTCAATATACTGATTCCTTTGCCGAGCTAGTTTAGCTGCAGCCCTTATATGGAGCAAATAGAACAGTCAACCACCTACCTAAAGCTAATCAGTGTTTGTTATTCAAACAAATTTGAAAGACAAGCTTGTTTTCTACTGCCATATGTATCCTTATTCCAAGGAATACATGGAGCTCAGGATCAGATTAACACCATCACAAAATAATAAAAATAACAGCAGTGTAATTAAGGTTAAACCCTGCATAATAACAAAACCTTCTGCTGTTGAACACAAATCCCTCTACAGCAAGCATATTCTTTAGAGCAGTACTACCCACTGGTAGCGGTCAAAGCTTTTGCCCTATATACCTGGAGAGCTGAATTTCAGGTAGTTCTGAAAACTCAAGAAGTCCCACAGGAGTAATCTTGAGTTGTTCTTTGTAGTCATCCACCCCAAGAGCATTCTCATAGTTACATCAATCCTGTTAATTCTCGTATGAAGCTTTGCATAACAAAAAGGAAGAATATTTTAGAGGATATGTATCCTGACTTCCTTTTTCTCCACAAATACATTATTTTATATAATGAGATTATATACAATGTATGTATCTATGGATTTTTATATATATGTGCACATATACACACACACACACATACACACTTATGACAACAAAACACAGAAGGATTAGCAGGAAGTATTTGCCAAGAGAATTCTTTTAAAGTATATTTTAAGACGGGAAATCTGAAGCATTTTACCTGTTTTATAACTCTGTGATCTATATATATCCCTGAGTTCTTTCATAAGTCGATCTGAAGCCTGAACTGACCCAGAGACTGCACCCTGAAACAAACAAAAAAGACTCCAAGTAAGTGAAAAGTAATATTTACATCAGACAGCTTTATTTCCATTACAAAGTTACACTAACTAGAAGGTATTAAGAATATATTAAATTCTGTATTACGATTAGGTTTTTGAGAAGTTACATATTCTAGTGAGCAAAGACTGCTCAAAAGAAACAAGACACTCCCTCTAAAGCAGCACATTAATATATACTACTACATGGTATAGGTGATACAAACTTTTAATCACAGTACAACAGACATGTTTTTCTGTAAAGGGGTGTAATCTTTTTGGCATTTTGATTTCCAAGATGGATCCACAGTACATTTCTAATCGGGAAATACTTCCTTTTGTCTTCTGCTCTTATGCACTGGAAGGAAGAGTAAGATTAATCCTAAGAACAAGCTTCTGCACGTAAGGTTTTGCTGTTTTTTCCGAAGTATATTTTTATTTGGTTATGAAAAAAGGTACAGGAGTTGGGAAGTATCCACTATAGAACACCAGCTTCTGGATGAAGTAAGACCAACCAATATATTTAGAAAATGCAGAACTAAAGTAACACTATTATTTGCAATAGCGTGGGAAAAAAAAAAAAATCAACACCTACACAGAGGAAGACTAAGGTAAGTAAACCTTAAAATACCAAATATTTTGTTGTGATTTGTCATAGTTCTTGTGGTTTATGCAATCAGGGCAGAAATCTCTCCTGTTCTTTTAGAACTCAGTTTTGTATTACTCAGTATCTCAAAGTGATAGAAAACTTAGCATACAATTTCTGAACCTGGTATTTCAGCCTGAGATACATTCCTAAAGAAAAAAAGAAGGGGGAAAAAAAAAAAGAAAAAAAAAGAAGAAAGGGAAAAAAGAAAAAAGGGAAAAAAAGAAAAAAAAGAAGGGAAAAAAGAAAAAGACCTTTAAGTGACATGAATATAAAATATGACTGGCTCTAAAAACCACCAGTTATCAAGAAACTGATGTCTACTTATATCAACAACTGGTGCACTGGATATATTCTGCACACATCCCCAGTGTTGGCAGTTCTGTGACCTTCGTATTAACTTTCGCCCCAACTTTCTGAGCTTTAAAGTGAGGACAGAACTTTTCCTCCTACAAAATTAAAGTGCTTATTTAGAATAACATGATCACCAAAAGCACCTAGATGACTCTCTCCGATTCAATGCCAAAGCTAGCAGGAAAGATTTTGATACTAAACCTTAGATGTTACATGATTACCCTTCTTACATATTCCACCCAAAATACCATTTTACGTTCAAGATTTTTGGAAAACAGAGAAAAAAATTAGCATTACAAGATTAAAAATATGGAAAAGGAATGAGGATTCCAAATGTGGTAAGGTAGCTGTCACCTCAAACCCCAATCCTGCAAAACTTTGGCTTTCACCAGCAGTCAGTTTCCGAAAGGTAGATTATTTCATGAGACCCATGCAGTTCTCTGCTGCTGCTTGGACTTCAATCACTCCCACTGAAATACAGGCTAACACATGTGGCTCATAAGTGTGCTTTCAGGAAGAAAAAAACCCAACCAACCAAAAAAACCCAACCCCCACACCACCAAAACAACCCCACCACCAAACACAGAAAAAGCCCCCACACCTAGAATAAAGTTAAGTTCAGCCTCTCTTACATGAAGTACTGACTGATTATGGGTCTGTTTTTCTACTCCATCTGAAAATTTGAAGACTTTTTTTTCTTCAGTTTCCTTTCAGACATTACGAACATCTACAAACAGATCCTTTTTGGACAGAAGTGTCAGAGAAGTATTTCTGGAGGAATCTGAAGCAGCTATGACCACTGTCTAATACCTGAAACATCATCCCTGTTTGCCTGAAGTCAACAGTGATGTTATATATTCTACAAGGTCTTAACTGTAGGATCAAATTATTTCTTAATAAGGATTAAAGATCCGTAATAGTTACTTGATGCTAAAGCCTCCACATACTCCTTTGTCTTCTCTGTTCAGTAGCATCATATAATATGCTTAGCTTCACACTATAATCTGTAGCCTATTCTTTTAGGCTATTAATTTTCATATTCCACTGGATTTAATTATGCAGATTACTGAAATTCCACTAGTTGTTCTTAACGGACCGGTATGAAGAATGAACTTTGTAATTAAATATGCAAATAAAAGGCAACTCCTTTCATCTGATTAAACAAAAGCTACATAAAGACAGGACTCCAGACAAGTAATTTCTCAGTTTACTGAAGCCCCTATCTATAGAGCAGTATCAGACAAAGAAGGGATTTTCTTCCTTTAACAGCAAGCGAATGAGGTTTTGTGGAAAAAAACTGGTTGTTTATATACGTTAATTGCAGATTACTACTATTTATACCCACTATTTGCAGATTAGCTGAAAAAGGAAGCATTACACTTAACAAGTTAACACCACGCAGTTAACCATCATTCTCTGTAAAATTGCTGTGCTTTTTCAGACCTCTGCTGTGAGTGTTAAGGTTGAGACTCATGAATGCGTTAGGTCCAGAGGAAAGAAACTCCATAAAGAAGTATCAAGATTTTGGCTTTCTTCTGTGCAGAGCTGTGCAATATCCTTGCCTTGTCTGCTGTATTGCTTACTGAAAGAAGGATTTTTTCTTGTATTTTTCACAGAATATCAACCTCTAAATACAGGGAATTTAAAACCAACTTAGATTCTCAAAGACATCCTGTGGAAAACTAGTTTCCTCATTTCATCTTTATTTGCATCAAATTAAGCTACTGAATTTCTGTATATAATGCTGGAAGCTCACCTTTGCGTATGAAAATTTAAGTATCTTCTCTACTGTAGTAATTTAAAACCAAAACTTAACACACCCACATACTCCCGAGTGCCATTATAACTGCTGATAAACTGAAGTGGTTTTTTTTTTAAAAAAAAAAAAAAAAAAAGGTTAATTTTAGTGTGTGTAAGCTAACCTCAGTAGATTTTGTCTGTAACAGTGTTGTTTTTCACACTTTTTTCTTAGGAGTTTTTAGCTCATATAGCAGTATTAAATATAGTTAGACTTGCTACTCTAAAGAATCAATAGACTGCACACCAGTAATCTATAATGAAGAGGAAGAGGCTAGCAAGCTTAACCTAACAAGTTTAGCACAGGAGCTTACTTTATATGCTCCGAACTACCCTTGGAGGAAGTTGAAGAGGAAGCCTGCAGAGGTTAACTGCTATACCTGATGGTAACCTTAACGCCAAAAACCACTGCTTTGAAACAAAGTCTTCATTCTGGTGTCACTTTTGTTTTTTATAACTACTCTTAAAGTGCAGTTTAGAATACTACTTGCATTACACTACTGCGTGATATAGTAGAGCAGTTTTGACTATAATGGTACTAAAATTGCTTTCAATAACTGGCTATATCAAGTTATAATTTCAAAGACTGAATTCAGGCATAAATAACTGAATATCCTTCTGGAAAAGTGGGACTTACCACTCCAAGGGAGATAAAGCGCCCGTTTCTCCAGTTGTGAGATCAAGACTTATAGTCACAACTGCCTTAGAAGTAACTGATGAATCATGGGATCTGACAGGTATCTGTCATGTGGGGTTGATACCAAGAGCAGAAAGGCATAGGCTTTCAATCTGTAAACTGAAGAAGTTAAAAGAGCTGCCAGACAAGCCCAAAGTGACCTTTTTCCTATTAAGTAATCAAACAGGCACAAAAAGTGTCACTTCATCATCCTCTCCTGTACAAGCATACTTGTGGTTCTCCAAAACAATAAGCAGGTAAGCTGGAGAAATCCCTGCTACAGGAGGTAAACATTTATGTGGACAACATGTCATTTGCTGAGAGTTGCAAATAACAGAAACACCTGGTGCAGCAATTCCCAGAGCCAAAACTGTTGGACATGAAAAATATTCATGAGATGCATCACTACAAGCTTGTCCTGTTCTCAAACTCTTCCCCCTAAGGATGTGCTCCTGCCTCTGTGAGAAACGTGAAACTTTGGTCCAAGTCAGTACAGGCATTATATTTTTCAGAAGTGTTTCTATCCTTAATTAGTATTTTAGTGTGAACGTATAGATTTGAGTAAAATACTTCATAGAACAGTTAAGCAACTTCTAAGAAAAGTAGGACTTCAGAACTTCTGCATTTGCGAGTCAGTAGGGCACACCTAACTGTGCAGAAATCAGCACAGCACATGCCACTGCCCTAGCCGCCTGCTGCACTAAGTCTCCAGAGATATGAGGTTTTGCAGCCTCAGCTTTTCTTTGTACATTCTTTTCCCCTTCCATCCCTCAAAACACAACCACGGTCTGCTCCTAAATGAGTTATCTGAGGTTGCAGGTACAGTTCACTACAGTTTTAAATCCAAAGACGGAATTGTCTGATCAGAAAAATACTGTCACACATCACAAACAGTACAGTAAATCGCTTCACTCACAATATATTTCAGGTAACTCGGCCACAAGACTAAAGATTATCTGCTAAAACAAAACACAAAAAAATGCAAACTCCTCCGAGATCATAAAATAAAATTTAAAGTGACCCAAAAAGAGCTAAAGAATACAAGTTTGTTCTATTGTCACTGAACTTTCTCAGTATTTGGGCAGAAGTACATTCATTCCTGCAAGTTAAAGTGGATTAATACTTACTTCAAGGATTAGACTGAAAATGGAAATGACACCTTAGACTTCATAAAATCTGAAGATGAAAGTGAAGACATTTGAGACTTCTAAAGTAAAGTGCATAAACTCCTTAGTAGGAAATGAAAAAAGCTAATAGCATTATCTAAATAAGAAAAGCATTAATCTCTAAAATGACTATGTGGGGAGAGACCTCTAACAAGCAAGCAGCAGCAAGTTGTTAATATTTGAAGTTAATGATTCCAGTTCAAAGACCTTTTTTTATTCCCAGTAAGCAAGTGGTTCTTTAAAGTTATTACAATGTTAAGAGGAGGATTAATTCTTGCTCCAAGTTACATACTGTACCGCAAGCCAAATTTAAGTTCATTTCCTGATGCTGGCAAGAAGAATAGGATTAGGGATACTGCCAAGGAAGAGAACTAGTCTACAAAATTAGCAGATACATATTCTTAACTTGTATAAAACACGCAAACCCTAAAAACTCCTATGACAAAAGTCTTGAGCAGCAGAAAAATGTCTTTAACCTGTTAAGAATATGCGAGAACAGGACTGCATGCACTCCGTTCCTATGGAAAAACCTTTAGCATGATCTGTAACTTCAACCTGCATTTCAGCCAAGGGGAGAGAGGATGACTCATGGATTTGGGCCAAAGAACATGAAACTGAAAAGTCTTCTGGTTGCATTGGGCACTAGTCAAAGCCCTACATTAGGCTTCACGTTCTCTCTTCTAACAACAAACACGTAAATGGCATGGCGTTGTTTTACATTTCCCTGCTGAGGAAACAAAGTATCCCAAGGGAGCTGTGTAGTTTGTGTGAAAACCAAACTATGTTTAGCCACGACATTTAAGTTTGTGAAACTCATACTGTCCTTTAAGAAAACCCACTGTGAAGGGCTTTATGTTAGGATACTGAGCAAATTTCTGCTATCTTAGAGCATGTTTAACCTGTTCTATTAGAAGTCCAGTGTTTTGGCAGCATAAAAAGGCATTTAAGTGCTACTAGGTTAGCTCTTTCCTAGGTCAGTAGTGCAGCTGTAGTTTTCAGTTCTCAAGCACTTAAGAGTAAACCCTCACAAGTCCTTTGAGAAATTATTTAAGCAGCGCAGCTATTTCTGGTGACCCACAAAAACACCACGGTTCCTCAGCAGCAGTTGAATACCCTGCTCCCTGTGCTCAGCTGACCTTGTTTATGCACCAGCGTCAACGAGAGCGTCTTGGCATGAGAAACAGCTATTATGTAAGTTGAATCTGCTGTTGTCAAACAAAAAACCAACAGTGTTCATTTCAGCTCCACTAGATGTGGAGGGAAAAAGCAAAAGGAAAGGCAGTATTTGCCAAATGGGAAAGAACAGATAGCAAAAGAAAATCTGCAGTTTTAAAAGGCTTTCCACACCAAGGAAGAACGTTGACACTACAAAAACCTTTTTTCAGTTCTACCAAATTTTTAGATGACAGTAAAGCAGACTATGCCTTTCAGGCTGCAAGAGGATTTATTTTATTTAACAATTAAGGAGTCTTTACCATTAGGCCTGAGTTATAAATACAGAAATACACAGAATCTCAATAGGCATCTTCTCAAACTCTGAACAAACAGTTAAGTTTAAACAAAACCAGTAAGTGATCATTGTGTTTATGGTTAGCCAAGTCTTAAAATAGACTTGACTACGCAGCAAAAACAGTTTGGCACCTTATGTTTACCTGCTTTTAAATACTGAAATGCTGATCAGGTTTTGGGGTTTTTTTGTTTGTTTGGGTTTTGGGTGGGGTTTTTTTGTTGGTTGGTGTTTTTTTTTTTTTTTTTGAAGGGGTGATCATTACTGTACACTTTCCTTCAGACAACCTAATAGGTAACTATTGAATTCATACACAAACCAAAGAGCAGTCTCCTCTAGCCAGCTATCTCACTCTGCCTATTTCAGCAGAACATAAGTCTAAGGTATTTTTGACAGGTTTGCACTCAAGTCATACTAGAACAGCACTGGGACAGGAGCAGAAGACTTGTAGTTGAAGAACTCCGGTAGAAGCATTTCTATTTTATTTCTTTGCAAAGCAGATGGCTACAAACTGAATCTTTTTTCCATGTTTAAGTGTCAGTAACTAAGAGGAAGAAGTTTTTTTTCTAAACTAGATAAAGTTATTTAGGGCCAGTAATTCATGACAAGAAATAGTCAAGATTCTGCTAATTAAAGGAGCCTTCTCCCTAAATTCTTGTGATAAGTAGATCTATCAGGAGTGCATCCAATATTAAAAGTGGATTGACTTGGCTAGCACTGAGTACTTTGAATGTATATAGTTCTCGCTACAAATCAAAAGAGGTTTACAACAGCAATTCTCTTGAATCTAGTATTTTTTAAGTGCAATTTAGGCTTTTTTAGAAAACATCTGCTGGAAAAATCATCAAGCATAAGAACTAGAACAAAGCTCGTTCCTTGGGCAAACATCCAGGTGTTCCCTACATACCGATCCTAAATCTTACTCCTTCCCTAAATACTTCCAGGTCCCTCCCCTGTACCTAACTACTGCTCACATCCTCAACTATTAGCTTAATGAGAAATAGCACATCTTGTGTCTCGACATGATCTACATGTCTGCTGACTCGCCAAACAGCATATAAAAACCTATGAGCTCACACAGTAGAGGGCACCAATTTAAGCACCTTCTCTCTGTACAGGTGACTTATGAAAATTTTAGAACCCTTACCTTTGGTTGAAGTTGGTCATGAACAGAAGTATTGTATTTCATGCATTACACATTTTAAGCCTCTGTGAAACAAAAGTTTTGATTTCTTTGGAAGCTAGGCTAAATAAAATTAAGGTTGTATGACATCATCATTCCCTCCTACATGCACCTTTGAGAAGTAGAAGCTTCTCTGGAACTTGGCACTTGTGACAAAACATTTCTAAGCCTCTGGAGGATAAACAGTTTTTTTACAACTGCCTGCTGGCAGGATCACTCAGAAAACCGTGATAATAAAGCTGCAGAGCTGCTGAAGGCTCCTTGCTTTATGTCTGGCAAAAAAAAACCCAACCCTTCAGTAATTTCCAAGTAGCATAGATATTACTGAAAAACAAACTCATGCATAAAATGGATTTAAACACAAATTCCTGGGTTTACTCTGTATGTTAAGTCACCCATGACTTTTAATGCAGTCAGTTTTATGTATGGCTTTTTTTGTTATTTCAATACGGGCTCAGCAACAAAAGTCATGCTTACAACCTAGATGCTTTCTGCTGATTCTGCAAGGAGGACTATTGTTCATAACAAAGGCGACAACCAAATAGATACCTCTGGAAATTAAACAACCAGTTAAATATCCTTAAGAAGTATGAAACCTGGATTTACATGTAAGAGTTGACTCTAGTGAAAAGCTAAAAGATACTTCCTCATCCAAAATGCCAAGAATACCCCACCCCAGTCTGACAAAAGAAATTACGATAGCATTCTCCCCGGCTGAATGAGAGTGCTTTGAAGTAGTTTTTGTGCCTCTGTGGGCTGTGGATAACAACTAACTTCCTGTGCCAAAGATTCTGATGAAAGATGAGTTCATTTACTAAATGACCTTGGAATTTTAGCTGGCCTATTCAAACTTCTCCAAAAAGAGCTATTTGGGTCCCATAATTTGAAACATTTGTCCTATATATACTGGAAGTCAGCTACAGGTTAACTTATGTCTAGGTGCATAGCTTATTTGCTGAAAACCATTTCTATTTTAAAGCCAGAAGTATTGCAAAGAAAAAACATAAATCATTAACTCACATTTAAGTGATCTTGCCTTTGATTTTTTCTGATTTTTTCTAAGATTGCAAGGTTCTCTTTTTCAATGCCTTCATCCTCAGATTTCTTCCCATCAACTGGTTCCTCCTCCTTCATATCATAGTGATCCAGATCTTCGATGTCCTTCAGGATAGAGGAAAATTCACTGTAAATAACTTAACTATGCTCTTCATTCAATGAAACCCTCTCCAAGGGCATTTAGGGATACAGCCACATAATACTGCACAGCACTATGTATTAGTGATTGTTGGATGCCATTTCTATTTTGCTCTAACTTCACACTCTCAGCCAACAGTATTCACTGGAAGTGTAGGGAGCCTTCACAACACAAACGAGACCCAAATTCACAACATGTTTCTGGTCACAGAAACAAGCACAATAAAACCTCTGCAAGAAGTTAAGATTGTAGTGAATTAGCCCATTAAAGTAGGTAGAAAACAGGAAGTTAAGGCATTCTGAACAGGGCTTGAGAATCCAAAAGTTTGGGTGTCTCCAAGATGTTTCTAAAAGCAGACTCTTTTTTCAATTAGAATCCTAGCTATAGAATCATAGAATCATAGAATCATTAAGGTTGGAAAAGACCTCTAAGATCATCGAGTCCAACCATCAACCTAACACCACCATGCCCACTAAACCATGTCCCTAAGCGCCTCATCTACACGTCTTTTAAATACCTCCAGGGATGGTGACTCCACCACTTCCCTGGGCAGCCTGTTCCAAGGCCTGACCACTCTTTCAGTAAAGAAGTTTTTCCTAATGTCCAGTCTAAACCTCCCCTGGCGCAACTTGAGGCCGTTTCCTCTCATCCTATCGCTGGTTACTTGGGAGAAGAGACCAACCCCCACCTCGCTACAACCTCCTTTCAGGTAGTTGTAGAGCGCGATGAGGTCTCCCCTCAGCCTCCTCTTCTCCAGGCTAAACAGCCCCAGTTCCCTCAGCCGCTCCTCATCAGACTTGTGCTCCAGACCCTTCACCAGCTTCGTTGCCCTTCTCTGGACACGCTCCAGCACCTCAAGGTCCTTCTTGTAGTGAGGGGCCCAAAACTGAACACAGGATTTGAGGTGCGGCCTCACCAGGGCCGAGTACAGGGGCACGATCACCTCCCTACTCCTGCTGGCCACACCATTTCTGATATATTACACTTCTGGCAAACAACGATTAACGTATCTGGCCGGGCTACAGCAACCCTTCAAGAAGTTAAATATTAGAAAGCTACCGTACTTTATTCAAGGTGAACATTTCAGCTGAAGATTAGATGCAGCATTAGGATATGACACAAAATTATGTGTCATAGGTCAAGTATCCTGCTCACAAGAGCCAACATTTCAGTTCTGAGTTCTAGACTAAGACTGAAAAATCTTCCACTCTGTATTCTGAGATGGGGTTATCCTGTTGCAGAGGAGCACTCTGAACTTAAGACAACTGCCTGTAAGGTGATTCAAGAGCTATTTGTGGAGAGGAGGGGAAGGATGTAAATACCTTGAAATGAAAAAGGAAGCACTACAGCAGCCACACCAGCAAGCTGTGAGTATTCAACTACCAGACATGCTCCAATATACAGTACTCCACTACACCTGTGGCTACTCTTTATGCACCATGTGTTTGCATGGCAGGAAAACCTGGCCATAAATGCAAATTCAAGGATGTCTTATGTAGTAAGAAACACACCTATCTGGTGCCTTTGACAACACCATTTCATCCAACTGTTACAGATTTTAGACTGAGTATTCTCTAAAATGCTCATGTTTCTCAAAATAATGAAACAGCCCTAGGAACCCTAAGCTGCTTTTCAATTTAGAAATTGGACTAGATTACAAGTCGAAGATATCAGTGCCACACACAATGCCACCTGACAGTTCATAAATAATGACAGACGTGACAATTTTTTTGTCTGACGTAACTCGAACAGAGTGCCAAAGGCATAAGTCTGTAAGGAAAAAGAGCCTTGTGGCAGCAGGATATGGGAGTGTACACACTACCTTTACATAAACCCTGGCTCCAACAAATGTGGTCTGGATCGGGCTAAATACGATTTAAGAGAGACTGCTTTAAATCAATTCCAGAACATGGGTAACACTGAGATCTTTTCTAAAGGAAGACCTTCTATTCAAAGAATGAGTTGTTCATTCTTACCACACACCTTCTTCATTAAAAATCTAATTCTGAAGTAGTCAGAACAGTTCTCGTATAATAAAGCTATTTATAGTGATTTAAAAAGCAAGCATCTTGGAGCTATTCTAACATGCTGTAGAAGTAATTGAAAGGGGTGGTTCTCAGACAGTAAAAAGCTCATTAAAGGGAGCACTGTGTTGCCAGACAGTGACATAAACCCCTTAAAGTTTAGCACATCTGTTTTGGATGTCCATCGATTTCCTTCAATGTATTAAAGTTAAAAACTAGCTCACCTGTTTAATAAATCAGCAAACTGATTTACTCTTAGCCAGTCTGCTTCAACTTGGGAGGCACTTTCAACTGTATCGGAGCCAGTTTATATGCTGCTTGAAATAGGACTTAACTATGCAAACTTACTGATTTGGCACACAATGTTATGTATTGTTTGACTAAAGCACAAACAGATGTCCAATTCTCTGTATCCAAGTACCTCACAGCTGAGATCTAGGTTTAAGAAGAAAATTTCACCAGTTTTGGTGGTTGAAGTGAAAGCTGACATTAAGGTAAACATCCACATTTTAAATTATCTTTTCTGTTGAGCTCTAGGGAGATTACATTTTACAGTTTGGCTTCATAATTAGCCAGCCACTGCAGAGCAAATGCCAGAATTCTACTAGATTAGGATAACTATCTCATATATACACATACTTCACCCATATCTTCTTCTTCCTCCTCCTCTGATGTAACTTCTTCTGTTGTTCCATTCTGCAATACAACAATGAGGTTTCTGCATAAATTGTGCATATGTTCCTTTCTTTCAAAAACAGGAAGTCTACTATCAAAGAGAAAACAGTATATATAAAAGTTACTCTTAGCAAGGTCTGCAAAGGACTGAAGTTTAATGTGAAAGATACATAAAGATGCTTTCCTAGAGTATGACAGTGAAAAGATTTTTGCATGAAGCAAAGATAAACAGAATGTCACAATTAATTTCACATTAAGTTTTAAGTGGAAACTTAAGATTCAGATAAGGATATCCTATTATGAGGCAGTGACAAATGCAATAAACAAGTCAAGCGGGTTATAACTTATGATCTCTTAACCATGTAATCAGATCACGGCTCTGACTAGAAACCATATACATGCTAGACCTCTAAAAAGAAGAAACCCAACAAACTTTAGACCTCTAAAACTTAATTGATTCTTGTCTCACTACTAGAACTTCTATGCAACAACTGCTATCATTATATAGCCATTGTTATTAGATTATTTGATAAAATACCAAAACAGCACATTGAGTGCATTTTTCACGTCTTTCCATTTCAGGATACCACTTCAAGCTCAGGAAGTCTGAGCTGCAGAAATACTCAGGAGCATTCTGATATGCTTGTCCTCTGCTTACTCTTCCTTTGGCAAAGAAGGAATGACACTCCTGTAGACAATGCAGTGGACTAAAAGGAACTTTGTTCTGACTTACTAAGGCCACTTTTATTTAACTTGCAAATTTTCTGACATTTCTGGCTAAGAAACCTTCCATGAGTTTGTTTTTGAGTTTTAGAGCATAAGCAAGACTCTTCAATGAAGCTACTTCCTAATATTACAGGCCTATTGCTTTACAGTTGCGCTGCTACGTGGGTGGCTGACAGAAAAGACCTATAGGATTACAGTTTGGCACATGACCAAAATTAAGCAAGTTATTTGTCATTACTATAGTACTGTCACCACAGGAAAACCATCTGTTACGCTACAGGAGTTATTAGAAATCATGTCATCTTAACATGTATAAGCAAAAGATATCATAATCTTATTAAAAATACAAAAAAGAACAGTTACTGTCAGTTACCAGTTCTGTTTTCAGCACAATACAAAACATTTTAGTCAACCAGAACATTTCACAGCCCTTCACAACTCTTTATTTGTCAAGAGCCCAGAAAGTAAACAAGGCACCTCAGATACTCCCTACCCAAAGTAGCATATGGTCTTGATATCCCATGTCTCTGCAAGGGATTGAAGAGGAAGGAAAACATCAATAGTAGTTCATCCAAGTGCACACTGTAAAACACATACTCTTCAAGAAAAAGCAAATACTGTTTAATCACATTTACATTTTGGAAAAAAGTAAATTTGGGAAGCACTAGGAATGCACAGCGATTGGCTTGAACAGTCTTTAGGAGGGAATTAAACTGACAGCACTGGTATCACATACACACCTTTCAATGATACAGAAACTCCAAAGGAAATTGTGTAATATTTTCACACCATTATTAAATGGATTCTGCAAACAGAATTCAGACTGAAGACACCATAAAGCAGCAGTGCTTCATCTCTCAGTTCTGGCTTACACAAGGTTTAATTGTTCCCACCATCTTCGTTCTTGAAAAAACAACTCCTTCATTGCCACAAGGAAGTGTCCACAGCTTTTTAATTTACCTGTCCAGCTGGTAATGGCTGATCCAACATTTCAACATCTGGATGCTGAGGAAGATTATATAATCTGCAGAGGTCACATATTAATCTCTTCAGCTGTTGAAGAAGCTATAAAAAAGAAAACATGGAAACATCTATTTAAACCAAAGCACAGAGCAATAGATTTTTCATTTTCTTCACCTGTTAGTACTGAACTTTCAGTCAGTGTACACATTTAAATCTGCACTCACTGGAATAAAGTTTAAAGACCCTTCCTTTTCTCTGTAGTCATTGTAATAAAATCCCCACAATGGGAAAACAAGGACATGGCAAATTAAAGATGCTCCTGTTCATCTCCTCATGTCAAGTGAAGAAAGCCATGAGCAAAAGAACAATCTGCTCTGGCAGCATCATCCATTCCGGGCATAGGTGTCTCAGCCACAAATCACTAGGGAATAACCAAATGGTCATATTCCATGAGACAAGATGGTCCATTCCAGCTTCCTAGGTTAAAGAACCATGTCTTAAAAAAAAAAAAAACAAGGAGGAACAGTCTGATTTTCCACATCCTGAATCCCTTTCTAGGGCACAACAGTGAGGCACTAGAAGCAAGACAAACACCATACAAGGCATAGAAACTAGCTAACCTCTGAGCTAGAGCCCAAGTAGTCTGCTTGCTGTATCTTGTATCAGTTTGAGGCACAATCTGTTACTATCACTGATTTCTGTTTCCAATTTTCGGTGTTACATTGACTGTGTTCTGTTAACTGCAAAATATGGAACACCTTTCACTCACTGTAATACTATCCAGAAAATAAATTCAGTTCTGCAGAAATAAAGAAACATTAAGTTCGCTTCTTGATCACCACACTAATTAAGTGGATTTCCGTACCTGTTAACCTTCTCTAGGCAGCCTCAGATTCCTAGTTAAGGCCAAGACCATAAAAGACTGCACGATTGCATCTCCTAACTTTTCAAGGTCTTTGCATAGCTAAGTCAGAAAAACAAAGAAAGGACTGCAGAATACGTTTGCAAAATGGTCAACGCTTCATTATTTGCAGAATAATACCCTCAATGAAGCTTGCAAAAATTATACATCCATTTATGGACTTTTCTTCCAGATACCAAAGGAAGTTTGTCTTTGCACCTGTAGAAGGCAGTGTGCAAGACAGCCATTTCTGTACACATATCCTTCAGCACTAGCAGCAGTTACGCTTAGAGTGGCAACTCCCACTCCCCTTTAAGTATCCCTCCATAAAGGAGGGAGACTCAGGCAATGTGGCCTCACCCAAGGTACAGCATAGACTGTATTATCCTGAAAGAATGATACCTCTACAACACTATTTGGTGTTTGTATACTGCATTTCTTAAAATAGAAAATAAATTAAGGTATCTAAGAAAAATCTAGTCACTCCAAAATATTCTACATGTCTAAAGCCTTATTATTGGCCAGTTTAAATGCTTTTACCTTACCCTACTGCAAGTGAAAGTTCAGCCTCTCCAGGGTTAAAAACTCATTTCCAAGCCCAAATCACTAGCAGTGGTAAGCAAATGTTGCCCTTCTGCTATCTGAAAGCTTCAGTGCTTTTCCCTTCTCCAGTAGAATTCAACATTACTGTTTAATAGGAATATTATTTATTCATCGGAGGCCATGAACTGACATACCAACCTGCATTACAAGAATTACAACGTTCTCTCCTACCACACCACGTTTGTTGTTTCTGCATCATTCATGACAGTCATCCTTAACTCAAAAATAAAGCAGATGACACCAGAAGAACTGGTGTATCAGCAACACATTTCTTGTGAGTATATACATGAGATGTGATAGCTTATGTTGCCAGAAGCTTTCTGTAACAGTCACATTTCTCATCAGTGTTAAGACTCTACACCTGTTTGAATCCTCTTTGGTGTCTGAAACATCAGGAAATCTTTTAGCAGGCAGAAAGCGGGTTAATCAATCAAAAAGCTAGTCGGCAGATAGAACCACCGGTCTTAGAACTATTATTCTCAGTATGTGTAAGATGCTTAAAGTTGCACTGCTACACATTTTGTTGAGAAATTTTTTCTCTGCACAAACAACACTGCCTCATGGAGAGCTGGAGTGTAAACTATAAAATTTCAGGAATTGTGATTTTTCTCATGTAGCTATGTAAAGCTAGGCAAGCCATTAATTTGTTTACATCTGTTGTGAAGCATACAAAAAAAGCTAAATGATGGGGGAAGAATACCACCATTGGCATTTGGCTGGTCCAAAGCCTGGAAAAGCAGTTGAACGCAATATTAGAAATGTCTCTACAGAAAGAGACAGTCAGGGCTGGGAAAAAGAGTTAAGAACTGCTTCCTGTCCCGCTTCCTCCACTCCGCTTCGTAAGAAGTCCTGTCACCTGAACTGAAATTCAGAAGGAATCTTTGCAGACAGGACCTAAGACATTGCAAGCTTCTCTCACTTCCTTTTGAACACAGCACCACTGTGAGGTACACAAGCACTCTCAAAGCAACAAACTGCTGGCACAACCTGTACCAAATTACACAGTGGCTGTGCCTGAAGAGGTGTCTCCCTGCCTCCAGCAGCACATTTTCACCTTCTCATTTGACTGGCACCAGAGATCACACAAGCATGTAGCAGCTTGCAAGCTCCGAGGCAGATCAATTCCTGATGTGCCTCAGCACATAAGCACCAATTTCACCATATAGAGGGAGGCAGGAATGTGCAGCTGAGAGCAGGGACCCCCTTCCTTGGCAGCAGTCTACACTTCAGGTTAGCCTAATGCAACTGTCAAACTGCAGTTTCCTTTTTATAGCTAAGTTGTTTTACTTGATGTCAGTTTCTACAATCTGCAAAGGTGGTGGCAGAGCAAGAAGCCGATCCCATCTCTACAACCCTTCTTCCTTATTGCTATGTTTTTCCTCCACAGGAATTCATTTCATACCCTTGATCCTTCTGCCATGGGTCACCATCACCATTATCCCTTATGCTCTGCTCACATGTATGAAAAATCATTGGATAATTTGGGCTGAAAGGCATGTCTGGAAGCCATCTGATCCAACGCCCTGCTCTAAGCAGGGCCTAGCATGATTTGGTATGTGCTAATGGTACATGAATAGATTGTATCAAAAGGCATAGCAGATTTCTGACATGTATTAATAATTTAAATGTATTTCTAAGCTAACTTCACATGCTTGGCTAATGTAACATAAATGCTTACACACACACTTTGCTAGTACTGAAGAAAAGTGGGCTACCAGTATACCAATAGTTTCCCTGGAATACAAACTGCCTAAAGCAGAAACTAAACAGCAACTAGAATGCATAATCCACAGGGTATTAAAAGAGCAATGTAAATAGCCTGCATAAGGTAAATGCTCAAGTGACCAAATACAATGACAAATTTGTAAATTAATGACATTGATTATAATTAATATAAAAATAACAACAAAATATTAAAATATAATATATACATCTATAATACAACTTCTAATGCTTCAGGAGTTCTGAGAAGTTGCTAGTTCTTATGGACCCCATAATGCTGTTTTAGAACACAAAAACATCTCTTAGAACTTTTTGTTTCCCGTATTAACATCTTACAAATCTGAAAACAGCTTAGAACAATTTTTCTGAAACCTATCCTACATTAGGAGGCTTTTTTATGCATGAAGAGATCTTTCTAATGCAGTATGAAAGCATTAACAATTTTAGGAAACCTTTAATGATACTAATATACTGCTGGGTTCACTATGAAGCACCTTGTTTTCTGATTACCAAAAAACATGAACTGAAGAAGTATAGTGTAAGTATACACATGTATCTATATACATATATATACACACACCATCTGTATCTATGTAAGAATAAATAAATGAATCAATAAATCTTAGCCTACCACTGAAGGAAACTGCTGACGAGGAAACAGAGGGAAGAAACAACTGTCATTTGGAGTGCGACCACTACTTAGCTATCAGGTAGTCTGTGACAGTAACTGGCCTCATGCACATTCAGCAGCTTTGGGCAGTTTCAAAAAGTAAAGCACAGCTTCTTCCTGCATTTTGTCTCTATGATCCCCAATACGTAATTAGTTGCTGCCACGTTGGTAGTTTGCAAGAGCCAACATTCTTTCCTGAAATACCATCATGTGGGACTAAATCTAAATTCTTACCACAGAAGTAGTGAGCTTAGGGACAGCAGCTTATCCAAGTTGTACACACACTTATGCCAAGAATTCTACACTTTTGAAGCCTTCCATGCAAGTTTAAGCCCTCGAGGTTTGGAAAGTGTGAGAATTAAAGCTGTCCATCTGAATTTAAGCCCATTTCACTTTTGTCTTTAAAAAGCAAGTCTCCAAATCATGTAAAATTATATTTAATAATCCATGAAGTAGGGCTTGAGACTTTAGACTTGCAACTATAACTTCCATTATATTAAACAGAACAACGAAATTGAAGTCGGATTTATCTTTTGCATTGCACAACCACTAGAAGGCAGCTGTCAGTTTCAGCTACCTACCAAATCTAACGCAATTCTGATTTTCAGGATCTGAAAGGGAATTCAGGAGACACTAGGGGTCAGAGAGAATTCTGTAGCCCCTTCATCTGCTGACCGGAACTTGTTCAATATGAACAGTCACACAGCTAAAGTCTCCAAACCTAATGCTATCTATGTTGATCGTGTTCTTAATAACCTTTCAACATTTTTAGTGTTTTGAGGAATTTTCATAGCAAAAAGCACCATGCTGATGCCAAGGTAACACAGAGTTTCAGACCCACAGGAGTTTCAGATCTTCCAGGAAACATGTGCATGATTTTAACATAGTAAAACAGTTTTCCTTTTACCATGTCAAATGACAAGCCTTCCATATATACAGCCCTGTCAAACTTTTATGCCTGAAGAGCATGTTCTTCAGTTTCCCAAACAACTGATACCTGTCAAAAATTACGAAGCAAGTAGAAAGGGCAGAGTAATACTAAAGAACTCTAAACCAGGGTACATGTGCTAGCAGTGCTTTTAGCACATGTTTGCTGTGCTTAGTTGAGCTCCTGGAAGAGTCCAATGCAATTTCCCATTCAAAATTTGACTGTTCCAATAACTTTATGAATTTAGAGCAACAGGGCACAAATGATTCTTTAGCTGCAATAAATTAAATGAAAACTGGTTTAAAACATTCTAAAAGTCTAACTGAGTTTTTAGGAGATAGCGTGATAAATCCTCATCCCTTCCTACCCTACCCCAAGAAGTCTGTGTGTGAGTTGCTGCAATGCCCTTGAAGGGGAGGGAGAAAGTTGCAAGGGGAAAAGCTGTAGGGAGAAAAAACAAACCCAAAACCCACAAAGCCAAACCTTTTGAGCAAAACAAAGAAGTCAGATTTTTTAGTGTAAGTATTTGTCTCTTCAACCACTCCCGTCTGTCTTCATCCTGGCGTAACATGATGTGGGGTGGATTCCTGCGAAACCAATGGGCCTTCCACAGGTGTCTATTACATCAACCCATCAGCTTTTACATGGGCAAGTACAATCTTGATATCAGAAGCTGTGTTCTTACAATGTACATAAGCAGTCTATGTGCATATGCAATTCAGCATAGCAAGTCCTATGCACGTTTGCGATAAAGCTTTCTACCCAGGTTTGCAAGCAAACCTGTAGGTAGTTAAACACAGGAAATATCTTGTTTAAAACCTTTAGTCTGAAGCTACTAGCCACACCAGCTTCAAATACCTTCTGAGAAGCGTATTTAAGAAACAAGTTGATTTGGCCACATTTTCTGCTCCTATACTGTCATATGTCTTTTGAGGCAGAAGTCACAAAGACTAAGAGATCTGTAACATTCTTCTAAATGTAGTTTAGTCTAAAGTTTAGGTTGTAAGAAGAGAATACACAGCTGATACGTATGTCTCCTGTAATCAGATCCAACATGATACATTAAAACATTAATAGCCTTCTGCAATGCCCCTTTGTTTTTAATCACGGCAAAGCACATGAAGACTCTCACTTGTGTGTTAGTTTTCTAATTATTTCTGCTAGAAGTCAAATGCATCCTAAATATTCTTTAGAAAAGAAAATATACACATCCTTATTTAAGGTCAAGTATGCTTGATAAACATTATTCCAGTAAACATCACAGGTAAGTGATTTCATGAAAAAGAACATTCCCAACTTTTCCAAATACTAAGGCCAGCAAATAATCCATGCAAGCAGCAGTATTCTGCAGACTGATTTGTTTTGTATGCATCATGTGCATGCATGCATTCCTGTACACAAAAATAAACAAAAAATGTTAAAATAATCTGTTAATAAAGATCATCCTTAAGGGCTATTTAATATCCATAAAGCTGAATTTGGAGAGGAAAAACAACACTTTTAATCACTGAATTTGTCATTAGGCTGCAATACTACTCTTTGTGGAACAAAATACATTTGTACTGAAATTGTTCTCCAAGTAATATTCAAGGACACTTACTTTTCTGCATAGAATGGGAGGTTAATTTTTTTATATATATACACACAGCTCCTATCACTACATCGAAAGGGTACTCAAGTAAGATATAATGCCTGACAGTTTTCTGAAATACAAAACTACCATTAGAATCTGTGCAAAGATTTTCTTTAAATAGCAATTGTCCAAAGCCACAACACTGTTCAAACTTATCACTGTCTAAGGAACATTCTGATGAACCAGAAGCTATTAGGTCAAGTCTTCTTTACTGAAACCAGGAATTCTTTGTATTAGTTACCGTTACAGCCATGTTTTGGAGAATATACATTCTCAAGAACACAAAGCTTTTGCCTCTGTAATTGACCTCTGTCCAAAGACAACACTAGAAGAGATGTTTTATTCAGCAGTTTTAAGTTCTCATGCATTTCACTGTTTAATTATTTTCAGAAAACCTTAAACCGTGTAATTATTGGGGCTGAAACTTAATTTCTTTTAAAGAGCAAGCATTTAAGTCATCTTCTCCTCCTTGTTCCAAATCTTTTGGATTACTTTTGGTTCGTTATGCTTTTGGAAGAGAAACTTGTGTTTACAAAACCCCCCCGAATAACCCCAAAACTGAACTAATTTAATTGGTTGTTAATCTGACAAAGCTAAATAAACACCCAAAACCAAATAAACACCCAAAACAACCAAACACTTGCTCACCAGTGTATTGCTCTTCTTAATATCTTCTAAACGCTCTAAGACTGAAGTCAGGTTTGGGTCATCTGATTCTACAAACCATATTGGTGATGAAGAGGGGTAAGACTCCTGTTAAAAAAAACAACACAAAAGACCCAACAAATAAATAAACAAAAATCCTATAAAGCTTTTAAAACTCATTCACCCCAAAAATTTCACAACACAGTTTTAACATCACCTTTTATCTTACTTTAAGTCAGGTAACATAGAAGCTTTTAACACAGCATTTTTAGGCAACGCAAGAGAAGTTGAAAGAACTCCAGCCAACTGGTTCTTCTAGTATTTCATCCTATTTTCATCTTGATCAGATGATGGACATACATAAGAAACAGTGCTGAGAAGTTTAAAACCCTGGAGGCGGGTGGAGCAGGAGGGAAAAATTTAGAAATGCAGTACAGGTGATTATCACCAAAAAATGGAACCACAAGTAGTACATGTCAAAGAATAAAACTGTACTGATGCCAATTTTTCATAAAAATACAGATTCCTCCAAATAAAAGCTGTGAAAGCAACAAAACCTGGAGACTTAAGATTTCCTCCTCAAACAGGATTATTCAAACCGTTCTAGCACTGCCCCTCAAACTGAAGCAACATAGCTTAAATCTCCTGCCAGATGATGATGCCAAAAATCTGCAATTTTATCTTTGTACCATCAAGGCTCATAGCGGACTTTCCGCCACTGAAAGACTTCTCAAACAATATATTGCATACAACCCTATCAAGAAAGCTTACAGAATAACTTTCTTCCATCAATAGAGTCCTACAGTTGTTAGGCAGGTGCCAAAACACATCCTAGTGACAGCGAGATCAAATGGGTTCACAGGATTGTAAGTGTCCTCGATTTTCCAGAAAAAGCCATGGTTAGGGCACATACAACATATATGGCACAGATGTAGCCCGCAACCGCTCATACAATCCATGACAAGTGATTTTTCTGCCACTAAGCTGCCACAGCATGCAGCCCTTCAAAAGCTGCTGGAAAGACCCTTGCTATGGAAAGACAAACAGGAGTCCTTTGCCTCTTGTTTAGATGTTTCAAAAAGCAATTCCAATTTTTTTCCTAACACAGGTTTGGTAACATTGTGAGGATGGAGGAAACCATGTAGCTTCCAACTCAACAGTAAGTGTTCCTTCATATCATTGACATGTTTGGATTTTTTTTTGTTTTGTTTTAGTTATTTAAGGAGTTCTCCACTTCTCACAGATTGAATTACATTCTAGTAGCCGAGGACAAATTGCTGAACCTCAGTTTTATCACCCAGATACTATTTTCATATCCCCAGGTCTTACAAAATAACATGAGGGAATTTTAATTCATTTCCCTCACTGCAGTTTAAAAGGAAAAATTCTGTATTTCTCATTCCAGAGACAACAAATCATGCTTCATTCTTCAACACTTAGAGGCAAGGTTCCTACTGCTACTCTAATTTACACAAATTGCATTGTGTATTTTTTGCTTTATAGTTTTCAAGACAGCAGTAAGAAGTTTCGCAGAAGGAAGACATCATACCTGTCTGTCAGTGTTACTGTCTGGTCTTTAGTGATTCCCAAGCAAACCTAGCCTTTGCAAGCTCTCAAAGTGCAAGTCCCAAAAGAAAAACCCAGACCTTCCTAACTTAAACTAGCTTCCGTCATTTCAAAGATACTGGGTTTATTAGAGTGCTGAACACTATCTATTTGAAAACTAGAGAAAAATACAAGCATGTTAGAATTGGCTTTTAATAATACGAAGCTTACTTCCTAACTGACCTTCTAGCTGAAGTGCTGAACCTCATAAAAGAAACCATGTGATTCAATAAAGGACATCAACTTTGGCAAAACAGACTATCACAGCAGAGTTCCCACCTGGCAGCATACTCCAGGGAAGTTCTAGCTCCAGAGGCCTAAAATTCCCACCTGTAAACGGAAGCCTTTGCATAAACTTATTTTTAAACAAGCTCAATCAATCCCCCCTGACAAGTTTATATATTTTTTTTTTTAAATCACAGCTAAAAATACCTTAGAAGAAAACATGATATTCCCAGTATCTGTATAAAAAGACAAACTGTTTACATCTTCCAGCTTCACTTCACACAAGGCAGAGACATTAGAATACCTATTCTTGATTAACTAACATCTCAAATATCTGTCAAGAAAGTCCAGTGCTCAGCTTGCCAAGATTTTAAGGCTAAGGAAGGTGAACAGATGGGTGGTTACATGTGGTTTAATCACTTTCTTCCTTTACCCAATACAGTACCTTGGAAAAGTGCATTTTCTCCTCAGTTTCACTTACAACACTCTTGAAAGACTAACCACTGCTGGAGAAACAAGGTTAAATTCCCAGCTGCCACTGGGTTCCCAAACTATTATTTTTAGGAGCTATACTTCATTAAAGATACTCCAGGTTTTGTACTGATAACATCTCACTCATTTTTAATAACATGCAACCTACGTGTAAAGTCTTCTGCAATAATGCAATATTCTTACTTCAAGACTTTCATACTGCACAGTGGATCTTTATGAACAGTGGGGAACATCAGAAGGGAGACTCTGCTAACCGTGGCCCTACTGCCTGAAGACTTGTTTGAACCAGCTATTTTTGAGACCTGAACTTCTCTGGCCAGCTCATTAAGTTAAGAGAAAGGCAAGAGGGTAAACGCTACTACCCTGACTTTAGATTACACCAACACTCCCATCAGAAAATACAAAGAACAGGCAAAATCCCTTCCAAGATTCATTGAGCCATCTGCTTCTTAAAATCCTCAGACTCATTAGAATAAAAATATTCTCCAGATACAGCCAACATTTGGACTGTGTATGCGCATTCTCCTAACAGGTATTTTTGGCTTTTTTTTTTTCCCTAAATCAAGCATTTGCTAATTATGTTAGTCCAGGTCTAAGCAAGTCTATTAATTGCAATGATTTATAGAAGATAAAGGTCTGTCAGTCCACTCTTCTAAACCGTACCTGGAATCTGAAGACGTTTTACTCAACTCTTCACTGTCTATACTCTTTTTTTCTGACAATTCTGTTTCTCCTTTCTTCACCAGAAGGATTTAATGAACAAACTTACAGTAGGACATTTTTTTGTTGCAATCAGTATCTATCCCAGTCTGGGTGGGGCTATACAAAAATCTCCCCCAAAAACCTTGCAGCAAATCCTTCATCAGACAGGGACATGACTGATAGTGCAGATTTGGTATCGAGCAATCCCACTACGTGTTTAAATATATTACAGTAGCTACTTGAATGTGCTGACGCCTTCCGCACTGAATGACAGTCCTTCCTCATTCTTTGCTCTCATTCCAACTCATTCCATTTTTTGCAATGAAAGCAAGTCCTGCTGCTGTATGTGAGAAAAAATACTAGGATTTGATACTGCCTGCATTATTACTGTAGAGCACATATTAATTACTATACCCTAAAAATTATTAAATATTCAAATTTTTAGTCTGCTTTAGCTTTTGAAACATGAATGGGAACAATTTATCAGAAAGGCTTTTCTTAAACACTGTGTGAGCATATTCACTCATCTCACAGAAAGACTTCCAATTTAGGCTTCTGGCATATGAATATTTAATCGCATATTCCAACTTTTTCACAATAGATGTTAATATTAAAATACAGGTTCAAACTTCCAGTTTGTTGCAACACTTTTTAATTCTTCAGACTTACCAATATGTTCGTTTAACTTAGAAACATAAATGGCACTAAGTTTCTCTAGATCTGTAAGTAATCCATATTTTTGGAACAGCTGAGTTTCACGCGGATATGAGTCACTAAATTTTGAAATACAGAATTCACACACAAACGTCAAACATTCTGATCTTGAGATATAAACAAGCTCATGAGTTTGTAACACCATAGCATGCAATGAAAAACTAAGCTTGTGGTTTGTAAGATCAAACAACTAAACTTCACATGAGCTAATTCTCTTGAGAGAATTAAGTCAGCCTTTTCTTCCGTATCTGCATCCTAGAGAGAGAAGAGATGGACTTGAGTTATGGCATGTAAGGAACACAAGCTTCCCAAATATGAAGAAAACATTTCATGAGAGGAACCCTAGAATAGCAGTTATTTTACTATTAATTCTCAGTCATTAAAAACACCCATTATTTTGGGCCTTTCGCTACGGAGCTGACATACAGTGATTTTGTACAATCTAGTTTAGCTGCACAGGTATCACCCTTAATAAGTGTTTGAGATCTTTTATGTAACCGCTGTAACACGACATTTTCCTGCTCTCTACAAGTAAAAGCAGAAATTCATCACAAGAGCAAAGGTTACAATGCTTAGATTTGGGCAGCTTTCACAAGCTAATGCATGCTGTACAGCTTGGAAAGCTAATGCAATTGCTCAGTAAGACATGACATGCTGAGATGACATCACACCTAGCGTGTACTGAGGCCTGAGGACAAAGGCTGGATGTTTACAGCCAACCCAGATACAATTACAGTTCATGGGATCATCACTTCTAGAGAGTCTTTGTATCAACACCAGGACAGATTGGGAGCTTTGTCAATACAAATGCTTCTGTAGCTTCTGTAACAGAATGCAGCAAAAGAATTTAGCCTACTAATAAACATACAAAATACAAAGAGAACAAAATAAAGCCCTGCACTCCTGCCACTGGAACAATTTCAAAACGTAACAAATCATTAAGGAAAACCACAGCACATTAGACGAATACATGCAGGATCTCACTGTTCAGACGTTTCATTGCATCCCCTGTAAGAGGGTCTACTTACATTTTACTAACAATTTTCCTTACCAAAAAAAAAAGAAAAAAAAAGAAGCAAAAAGTGACTGAAGATACCAGGAACATGTACATTAAGGCAGCTTTTCCTGGGGAGAGATCTGTCATCTAAGTATATCCTATCTAAGCTTTCTCATCCTTAACAATAAGGCTGTTTTACTTGCAATGTTATATAATCTTTATCCTGTTCTATAAAGCTACAGCTACACAATTTTGATGTTAGTAAGAGACTGTTAAACGAGCTATTTCTAAATTACAATACTGTTGAAATTGTGAAGTTGCTAAATTAAAACAACACATCTTGCTCACATTCCTAAGATTAGAACAACCTGTA